GGTTTGCTCGGTATGTCTCTGATGATGGAGAGGCTACGGTGAAATTCCTTTTCGTCTACAATGTTTTGGAGGACTCCTCTTTTGCCAATGCTGAGACAATCACTAAGTGCATTTCTAACAATCTAGACAAATGTGAACTTGACGTTCAGAAGATGATGAGCCCAGTAACTGATGGCGCTAAAGTAATGACTGGGGAAAGAACAGGTGTGGCTGCCCGACTGAAGCAAATCAACAGCAAGCTTATTAATGTGCACTGTGTCTGTCACAGACTGGCCCTTGCTTGTGCTGGTGCGAGTGATGAGACAAAATACATCACACAAGTTGAAGGATTCATTTTGCAACTCTGGAAGTTTTTTGCTAAATCGCCTAAGCAGACTGCTCTTTTGGTAAAAGCACAAGAGTCGTGGCGCAAGATGAAGCTATTGGAAAAAGCAAGGTCTGTTGTGGCGAAAAAGGTGCGAAAAGCTTGCAGAACATGTTGGCTGTCAACAAGCAATGCTGTAGATGGAGTGTATGAAGATTTTGTTCCTATCATACAGGCTATCAATCTCTGCTGTCCTAAATGAAGAGCTTTAAGTTTATTGGTACGATATATATATATGGAAGGCCGTCCTTCCAGAGCTTGCTGCATTAAGCAGAGTATTCCAGCGAGGTACCGTCAACTTTGGCCATATCCTACCAGCTATCACCTACACTACTGACAAGCTAACGAAGATAGCACAAGACGAAACCCCCATCACCCAACTTCAGGTTGATATTCAGGAGAATGGACGGCTCGGTACCTGTGAGTTTAAAATCAATGACCACGAGATACAAGTTCTTTGCAACCTTCTAAAGAAGTACAGACAAGTCCTCAAGGAGAACATTGATTCTCGTTTCAAGGATGTGATGCCAGTGGTCTGTGCATTTGCCATCTTTAATGCAAATGCCATTTCAAACTGTGGAACAGCAGAGTTTTTAAGCTATGGGTCGAAAAAAATCGGCACATTGTCAAACCACTACTTTCCAGGTGACAAGGAAGCTCAGTAGCAAGTGAAAGCAGAGTGGGAGAAGTTAAAATACAATCTTCTTTTGCGGAAAGAGCAGATTCCTCAGGAACTTGACAACATCAACCCAACTGAGTGGAGTCTGAAGAGGCTACTTTCCATGCGCACAGAATATGGCCACTTCTACCCTAAGCTTGTGTGGATTGCAGAAATCATTCTTTCTCTTCCTATGTCAAATGCATGGCTGGAGAGAGGGGCTAGTGCTGTTAAGAGGGTAAAGAGTCGACTCCCTAGCAGTATGACTAATCAGATGTTGGAGGCGCTACTGCATATCTCCATCAACGTACCACCTGTCGGTGAAGCACAGGAACCTGTTAAAGAAGCTGTTTGAGGCCTGGAGCAACGCAAAGAAAAGAAGGAAACTCCCGCCATCTGCAAATCCAGGTGGCACTTCTTCTGGAAACTTGCAGAGTGAAGTTCAAGCCATTCTTGCGGACTCTGCTGTCCAAACCGATATCCAGGCCAAGGAAGATGAAAAAGTTGAAGAAGCAAGTGTGCAAGCAGAGGTGGAAGCTGCTGTTGAAGCTTTTAAACTTGCAGACCACCAAGCAAGTTATGATTTGGATGATTCTGCTTTTGAAAGTGAAGATGAATACTAAACACTCGATCGCTATTCTAGGGACTCGTGCTTTCTTTTGTAACAGTATATTTTGAAATTACAATTTAAACAGTGGGAGAGATTTTCCACATTCCACCTTGTATTTAGGTTTGGGACATGACTTTTAGGTAAGACTTGTTGTGCAAGTAACTGATTTGTAAAATTATGTTCCAATAGGTATAATCAAGAAGGTTTGTTATGGTTAAAATCTGGTAGAAAGTGTTCAAGCAGTAAAAGGCTCAGCACTTGAAAGTCTTGAAAATCAAGTCGTAAATTAAGTGGCTTCAGACTGATATAAGTGATATAAGACACTCAGTTAGATACACTGCTTAATACTTCTGTGTTTTTGTAATGATATATGCGACTAAAATATAACCATGTTTCTCTATAGAATAGATTTTTTTTTTGATTTAAGGATTAACCCTGAGCTAAAACTACAGTAAACTTTAACCATTTCAGAAATACCAGTTGTGAAAGTGTTAAAAAGTAGCACCTGAATAGAAATAGTTGACTGTGACTACTTCATTGTAACATAATTCTCTTCAAATTTGTTTAAATTAGTTGACTTAGGAGCAAAAAAAAAATGAAACAAAGCAACCAAAAAAGACGTGAAAATGCATGAAAATGCATCTGCGAGAGTCTAGAACTTCAAAATTTTCTGTGGGAGCAGAACTGTTACTCTTAAGTACCCACTTAGGCAAAAACTTATTGAAACCCCTGGGGAAGCGTCCATAACGCTGAATAAATAATAAAAGAAACCTCCGAGGGTACCATCAATTTTGTGTTCATAGCAAGATAGAAAACGCCTGAAAACGCTCCAAACTTGCATACCATATGTCACATGTAATTTCGAACCTCTTGCTTTCCCATGCATCGTGACTTTTTATCAGTTTTTACTACATGCAATAGCGACCGAACATTTCTAACCCTGGGGAAAAAGTCATGATTTTGATATCAAATGTCCTCCTTTTTACCTTGTTTACCTCATGATTAACACCAAACACTGGATTAAAAAATTAATAAACTACTTAAAATTAAAAAATACCACTGAATTTTCAGTAAGTGATTGACTAGCTTAAGGGCTTGCTCTTCCTTAGCACTTATTGTGGTGTATTTTGGCTAGGGCTCAAAGCGACTGACTTTTAGCTAAAGATTTTTTATGAACAAACGTGATATTAATAATTGAAATCGTTGGCATTGTGCTATTTCTTCCTCGACTGAGCTGAATGTAACAGAAAATCATGAGTGTTCCGACTATACCTTGAAACCCTCCACCTGCTCACAATCTTCTTTGGTGACCAAATGCCTTTCAGGCAGAACAAGTCTGTAGTTACAATGGGATTTAACATTCTTCAAATATTTGGTCTTCTCGCTTTCTCTCAAGTCCCTGGGGGAGACAAAGAAAAATAAAGCGACTTGAAACCACTACTGTAGTTCGAGAAGACGGATATGTAATGGCATAAATGGTGTTCATTTTTTAAAGTATAAAGATATTAATTTTTCCTTTTCTGGATGCTTTCATGAAGGATTTTTTGCTTTACAAGTGTCTCTAAATCATTTCTTAAAGCCTATTATAAATTTTTTCTCTGACTTGTCTTACCGATAAAGGAAAGCGTTTCTATTGAGATGGCGTTCGAACATATCCTTGATTTACAAGGCCCATGTGCTGGATTTCTCTGACCGGCCAGCCAGTTGGCACAGGGTGGCAACAGATTCTCTGGGGAAGACCCCATTGTTTTGGATGCATTCGTTTATTATGAATGTCGTTGCCCTTCCCTAAAATAAAAGATAATTGATATGTTTGTAAAACTGAGATTAAATGCCGACAGCAGATTCTGCATTATTTGAGGAAATTCTTTTTTGGTCAATAACAAAGTAAAAGGATATAAATATCTGCACAGACAAAAATTACTGATGTCTAAGAAGTGGCACATCCAGTTAGACACAAAAAGCTATCCAGTAGGGTATGAACACCTCTCCAATATCAAACTCGTCTTGGAGGCTTTTAAAACCCCTGAGGAAGAGGCTGATCTGATCGATATTTGGTTCACTTTAGAAATTGTGCCAATACCACCACTGTAATATGTGAACAGAAGACCTACCCAGTGTGGCTTTCGTGCAGTAGCCTGCAAGCAAACTCTTCCGGGTCCCAGGAGAGCTTGCTTGCAGGCTATCTTACCGGTGCAAAAACTGTCTGCAGCCCAAATTGGACTCTGGAAATGTCAGCTTCAGAAGGGAAGGGGAAGAGGGAGTACCCGGGGAAAAACCTCTCTTAGTAAAGTAGGGAACCAAGTGCACATTGTAGGCGAGTACTGTCATGTCTGCACCTTGCCGACTTATGACAACTAATCGTTCTGCTGCTGGTGAACGTTATCGATAGACAACATTCCACTTACGGATCGGTTGCAGTGATCTGTCATTTTCCAGAGGTCGAATCCAGCCTCCATAACAAGTCTTTTAAAATTGGACGTCATTTCTCTGATTAGTATTTCATTCTACAATATTAGAATTGCAAATTGTGTGATTAAATGTTAAACACTGTTATTGTAACTGTTATAACTTTTTTAGCTGTGCTTTACTCCTCTGAGGACTGAGATTGTTTTCGCACAGCGAAAATTAGGGAAAGCAACAAACACATTACTATACCTTAACACACTAGTGGAATTCATTAGACATAATTATTATTTAACTAACTTAAACAAAACCGGTATCTTCTGTCTTAAAAAAACATAACGACAGCATTAATTTATGTCCCTTTTAGTATGTACTAGTTATAGCTATCGCTAAGTGCCAATGAGCAAAGATTTTACCTATACGCGCGGGCTGTTGAATTTGTTTAGAAATAACATGAAATACAGTAATTGATGAAAAATAGATTGAACTTAATTCGACTGCATAAGCGAAAATTACCTTGAAAATGGTGCAAACTCAGAGCAAGGGGCACACATACACCAACCTACAGCCAGGCTAGTGTCGCGCACAGCCACATTCCAGTTTCCCTTGTCTAGACTGAAATCTCTAACCAGTTTACCTGTTTCCAAGAACGTGATACCCTATCCTAAACCCAAGGCAAACTCTCTGATTTAAGCACCTTATCCCAGAGGAACCTGCTTGAAACCATACCCTCTATAGCAGCACACAGCCCTATATAGTAGTACCCCCTGGGGTTTTAACTTAATCAAGCAACTCATTATCATGCTACATGTCAACATGTTAGACAACTTGAAACATACATGTAGGCTGGGTGGCATTTGTTGTGATTTTGTGAGTCAGTGTAATGGAGCGAAACCGCAAGAAGCTGCTATCTCTATGAACTGTGATAAACTATGCAAGCGAGAAACATTTTCAAGCTACTTAACAAGGACGTACACGATATAACCCACCTCTTTTGGCATCGGCAATGCTGCAGCCCAGTGTCTGGTCCTCGTATCTGTCCAGATATTCTTAAAAACTAGCCACCTTATCGCAGTCTTCTTGGGTGACCAAATTTTTCTCTGGTGCGACAAGTCTACAGTGTGATTTCTCCCTCTTTAAATATTTGGTTTTACCGCTGTCTCGCAAGTCGCTGTGGAGATAAAGGGAAATAAAACGACTTGACACCAGTGCTGTATTTCAAGAATACAAAATTTAATATAAATAGAGTAAATGGTGTTTCTAGTTTACAGAATAGAGACATCTTCTATTTCAGAAGGCTTCCCTGGAAGATTTCTTCCCTCAAAAGCAACTCTAATTCTTTAATCAAAGGCAGTTATACACTTTCTGAGAGACTTACACTGTATCTTACTGATATAGGAAGGCATTGCCATCCAGATGGCGCTCAAACAAGTCTTTTACACATAGTGCCCAGGTGCCACATTTTTCTGACCATCCGGCCAGATTACAAAGGGTCGCCACAGAATCCCTCTGGAAGATGCCATTGTTGGAGACACATTCATTAACAATGAACATGGTTGCCATTCCCTGTAATAAGGAGAATTGATTTGTTGGTAAAACTGTCACGTTTTACCCTGAAATGTGTCTAAAATAAAACGGGTCAGCAAAAATGCAGTGACATACATAAAGGCTCAAGAAAACAGTTCTTTAGAATTTAAGAAATAGGCTGTTTGCTTACTTCAGAAAATGTCCACTTGGGATTTGGCTGTCGGAATGTACCTTCTTGATGTGCTCGTTTAGGCGATTGCCTCTTCCAGTTCTGAAAGAGCACTCCGGGCATGACAGAGGTTGGGAGTGCCCGAGCATGTGATTGTAGAGGCTGTTCCATTGATGGAAAGTAGATTGGCAGCCTTTTGCCTGGCAGACCCAGGACCGTTCACTGGGTCGCTCACCATACCTCTGCCATCCCGGATGTTTTGTCCTTTGCTGGTGTGCAGACATGGCATCACCTGACAAAGTTTCAAAATTGCAGCTACCGTAGGGGCATCTCACTGGCTCCTCGAGAGGCATTGCATAGTCGGCGGGGGAAAATCTCCTTAGGCTTAGTTTGTCCACTTGCACTGAAGGCTTTCTTCTCTCTAAATACTCTAATACGTTCAACGGCTCTTTAAACTCCTGCCAAAAAAAGCAAATATGCATAAAGTATGGATTTGCAGGTAGAGATTCAATATCATGACAGTCCTCTATAACGTTCACTAATTTGTTATAGTATGGGACAGTTTATTAAATACTTTCAGTATGTCTGAGAATTTCGCTTGACTGACACTGTTTACAATTTGTGTCTCCCTTTCCCATCTACCAAACAAATATTTCCTGGGAAGTAACAACCACCAAGAATGACCGTTGACCACCACACTTTTCGTTGCTCAAATGAACATTAAATGAACAACGCTGCTAGCCTGGAGCATTCGCAGTCGTTTTTTAAATCTGCTTTTATCTTACATATTTTAATTTCAACCCTCCGCAGCATGGAGGTTCCCGTTGTGTAGTGGTTATCTCATCTGCCTAACATTGCAACTTATTGGTATATGGAAGATTGTTTGATTGGTTATATGTGTCATGCCTTCATTGATTACTTTGGTATAAAAAGTTTTATAATTGGTTTATGTCAAGCTGCCGTACATGATGAGGGCTTACCCCAATCAGTGGAAGGTCAGTCAAACTAATACCGTCATTACTGCATGGGGAAGAGTAGAAAGTGCGTGCAATTGATTTACCTCTTTGTCAGGATGTGGCGCTATGCTTTTTCCCCATTGCCTGTCGTGGGCAGCCTCGTTCTTTTCCGCGGCGAACTGCGCCACAGCACGGTTCATCACCGTGGCAAGTCTCCTCATTAGAGAGGCTTTGCTCATACCTAATTAAAAAGGTTTACTCCAAGTAAATGATTTATTAACGTTTCATTCGAATTTGGCATTCATTCTCCATGTACCTAGAAATTCATTTTTACATAAATTAAATCAGCTTACCCAATGCTCCTTCTTGCTTGTTTTCATTGATTTCTCTCAGTGCTACAAAGTTCAACAGCGATAAAGAGGATCTGAGTTTAACTTCAACGAGGGGCGGCGAATTGAGGGGCGTTTTGGGTAGGATGGTATAGCTGGTACCCCGCAACCGTCAGTTGAAGTTTACAACCCTACACTAGTATTCTAAAGTCTTCAAACTCCTCTCTCCTATAGTAGTTCCTTCCCCAAGGATACTGAGGTCATTAGCACTCCGGGAATGGTACTACCCTATACGATTGTGGGGGAGTCCTTGTGGTACCCTTTAGAGGTTTTTATTTGTGTTGATACTGCTAAGGGTGATAAAACCTTAAATGAGTGCCACAAGGACCCTAGTTAAGGTGTTCGCCCAGGATGTATGACAATACCTTCTGACAGTCTTGGAAAAGAAAGTGTTTCACATTTGTCATTGTTAGTATTAAAATGTACAGTGCCAGTTACATCATTTGTTATTGGGGAGTTGATACCTCTTTAAGGTGGAAATGAATACAGGACACGCCCATAACACAAGATTCTGGTACGTTTTCGGGTTTGCACATAATTATTTGATGATCATCCCGATTACTTTTATACAGGAGTCCCCTGGGATTAGCACAGTCCAGCCGAAACTGGACTTACATTTGTTGATGATAAAGGTGGTTGCCATTCCTTGTAATAAGGAGAATTCATGGATACGTTGGTGAGACTGTGGTTAAATGCCTGCATGCTTGAGGAAAGTCTTTTTGTGTCAATAGCAAACATTAGAAAAAAAACCTTCTCAGACTCAAGAAGCTATCCAGCACAGTATGACCCCCCGATATTTATCTGTTCCCGGAATCATTGCAAAAAGACTTGGGGACGGGGTTGATCCCGTCGATATTTGTGATATTTTACCGCCGTCCTCCGTTATACGAAGAGAAGATCTGCCCAGTTTGGGTTTTGTTCCGTGAGTGGAACCAAGGGAACAACCTCTCGTTACCAATTAGTAGAACCACATGCACAACAATGAACAAGCACAGGTAAATTGTGGCGTAAGTGATTACATTAGATAACGTGCGCTACATTCGTGCTAACCGCATGTCCGTGCATACTCCACTTATCAGAACTAACTGCTGTTGCTGAACATCATCAATATACCGCATTTTACTTACCGTTCTGTTACAGTGGTGTGTCATTTTCCGGGTATCAAACCCTGCTGCCACAACCACTCTCTTAAAATTAGAAGTCATCTCTCTTATTGGCATTTCGTTCTAAAACATAACAATAGCAAATTGTTATATTAAACATGAAACAGCACTTTCATTTTTCAATGATTTAATTTTTTACCAGTGCTTTAATCCAATGAGGACTGACATCGTTCTTGCGCCAATGAAAATAAGACCAGTGTCTTCTGGCATGAAAACATGACAAGGACGGTGTCAATTAACGTCCCTTTTTAATGTCTATCATGTAGTATGTTGTATTGTATTGTATATAGCATGGATATTTATGGTTTATGGCAGCACTATAGAGAATGAACATGCATTTGAATAAATTGATTAGCAGGGGATCAAACCTTGAATTCCAACTTTAATTTACTCTTCTTTATTTTTTAACCATACGGAACAGTACGTCTCAGAACGAAGTCTAAGATTGGGTGCAGTATTATTAAGTCCCTGGGAGGAGAGGAGAGCGAATTCCTGGGAATTGTTGGTGGGAGTGTGCCGCCCGGTTCTCCAAATCCTGACCCTATTTCAGACCAAAAAATGTAATTTTCCACACTCGTTTTCTGACCAGATCTCTAAATTCATACCCCTTATCAGACCTGGCCTTTAGGCAGAAAATATGTTATTATTATATTAGAGTGCAAACAAAATTCAAATCCACTTCGAATTCGTATAATTTTCTTTCTTACTTAAGACGTTCGTACAATCCCGTAGTTCCCTCAAAGACCAGACCCAATTCCTGACCAAAATGGGCAAAAGTGTATCCCCGTTTTCAGACCAAAAGGGTGCGCCGAAAACCATACACGATTGGGCGACACATACCTATATGGCTTATATACGGGATTTCACCCGGGTATTAAATCCACTTTAAAGTTGCAAATATCGTTCCCTTCTTATCGTGATATAATACGTACATGGATGGTCCCACTGGCCTTGTCAATGTGACACATCACCGGCCAATTCCTTGCTTCGTCTTTCAACTGGAAATTTCCGGTTGTGAAAGCTGCTTTGGGTTCTAAAAGAAAAGGCCCCCGTACAGCCAGCAGCAGAAAACCCAGAGTTGCTGCGTCGTACGGGGAACCTTTCTTCAAGGGTGTCAACACGAATGGTCTCCTGCAAAATACACAACAGACAAGTGTGACGAACGGCCTTCACATGCCAAAACATGTTAGACCGATTATGGACACTGATTCTAATACGTGCTATCCTTGTTCGTCTCTTTGCCATTTTGATGCTACATATTTGGTTTAAGGTCATGCCTTTCCAAGACAGTTCATCAAACGCTTTCAACTGGAACATTGCCTTTCTGTTGGCACCTACCTTCTTGTGTTATGCTATAGTTGTACCATACATGCCAGATTTTGAAGGGGGGGAAGGGGTAAGAGAGCCTTAAATGCACCCCGGCTATAATCAATGCAGCTACGTCAACAATACCTACCGGTGTGATTTGTTGATCGCGTCTTGCTTCTCTTTGTTAAATGTTATTGTACACAGCAACTGATCATTTTCATCTTTTCTGCGGGTAAGGGCGAAGAAGTGTCGTATTAGCGTCATTTCTCGTCTTCATGACACTACATTATCATTTTGAGATGTACCCCTTGTAAACAATCTTATACGGAAGAAGTTGTACATCTAAAAATGTTACATAGTTACCTAAACGACAACTGTTCTAAAGTCATTGTCGGCTGCTGTATGGCATCATCTGGCATGAGGTCTTCTTTGAGTTGTTCAGCCAGCCCTCTTTTATGGCCTATTGTCAGCGAGCCCTGTCTACAGCCCGTATGAAAAGACACCGAACAGAAAAATGCCACTGCAGGCCCAAAAGGAAGAAAAAACAAAAATAATAATTATTAAACTTCTAAAAATTGCATCCTACATATCAATGTCTGGATGCGTTTTAGAAGAAAAAAGAAAAGCTCTCAAAAAACAAATACTCTCTTAAAACTAACAGTCCAGTTCCTTCGTCTAATGGCAATCGGTAGCTGATTCTCTAACTTCAGTGCAATCTTTCAAATCAGGTTTTATTAATAGACGTCTCTTTAATAGCTGCACATCTGTTTGCGCAATGAATTATTAATAGAGACCTTTCTTATTATTATTATTATTATTATTATTATTATTATTATTGATTATATCCTCCAGAGGATATAGTTTATTAAAATCTCACTTACTCTGGAGCTGATGAGGGGTTTCAATACCACAGGTGTCGATGAGATGCTCGACATCCTGTGGCATGATTGGCTCACGATTGAAGCGCCCCCTGGTGTCTTTGGTATTTAATAAATATCGTTTTATTGAGGACGAAAGGGTTGGAAAAGTCTGTCTTGGACTTGCTAAGTCGTTACACAGATGCTGCAAGGAAACATAATATGAAGACACAATTACTTTTGATGACTTCACTTCAATCACCTACTTTATGGCGAGGGTTCACCTTTGGAGGACACATCGATCGTTATTGTGAGAGAACTGCAAATGTTCGGCCTTGTGGTTTCCGATCGACATACCGCTATTTTTTGGGTCTGCCATACACAAAGGGATATGATTGAACACAGAGAATAAATAAAAAAATAAATAGAACTCACCCAAGAGCACACTCCACTGAAATACATCAAGAGGATGGTGGAATAGGAATAGCCCATGTCGGACAGACTTTTGCAAAAAGCACGCAACTTGTCTGCTGACACGGGCAAAACAGTTTCATGGGGGAAAAGGGCCTCATGCCAAGCGATATACGCATCTCTTGCCCTCACTGTCGAATCCAACTACAACGAAGTGGAAAACATTTCTCTTAGGTCCTGACTCGGTTATTTACCAGCAACCAAACGGATTAACTTAAACTTATTAAGTTCCCATTAAATCAAAATATTAGAATACAGTTCAACAGAGGTTAGCTAAAGAGCACATTGAAATTAAACGACGGGTGGGTTTCCCTTTATTCGGATCATCACACTCAATAGACGATGTTTTCCTGCACTCATTTTCCCCAGCTGTATCAACGAGGCTATGATATTATAAATTCGTCCTCTCGATCGTCACGTACTATAGGCACATTAACACCCCATCACCTTATACTTTGAGGTAAAAGATATCAATATAGGCGGAGACATATACCTACCACTGACGGAGTCAAAGATGCGAGTCTCATCCTTTTGGCTTCATTCAATAAATTTTCGCCACTTCGTTTCTTTGTTGCTACTTCCTCTAGGTAGGCTGTCATTTTCAGGGATATTATCTTTCCAGATGGCACAACATCGACAACTATAAAGCAATAGCATGCGTTTACCACAGGACCATATTTCAAAAGTAAACTACTCTTTGAATTTCCGGGCCATTTTAGCCAATAACAACTTCCCGGCCAAGTGCATGGAGATTGATATTTTGTTGCTTTCAGTTCAGGCAGTTCTGTTCAGATACTTCGCCGTATTGTATCGTTGCTCTAATACAGCTCAAGCCCCTCATTTGGCAACCTGTACTATTTGTCCCCTCATTACATTCATTCTGAAATCACTGATAATCTCTGACATCTGATTGGCTGTCTGCTGTGTGAATTTTCTATGAATCCCATTAATTTTTGGCTCTAACCCACATTTCCTCCACATTGTGTCATTTCTGTTGTCGTAAATCGCTTCATTTTTGCACTGTCCCGCATCATTTTACTTTCGATCACAAAATGAGTCCAAGGCACCCTGTGACTCCCACTTTTGAACAAACCCACTTCGTCACAATTTAGAATCACGCGTATCATTTGATACCAAATTCGGTCCACTCGTTTTCAAGTAGCATTATTAATATTAATTGTACCAATGTATCTGAAAATCAAGGTTATTTCCAATTATACCTTTCTCGTGAGGCGCATCCTCCATTTCCATTTTTTTCGCGTCAGTCACATGTTTTATCGCAGTACTACTCTGGCCTAGCAATATGAACAAAAAAACACATAGGTTATAAAAAAAATGGGAGTGTGATGATTAGATTACATGTAATTTAAAGAACGATGTAAATTCTCTCAATACGATACTGAGAAACACTGACGTAAATGTTATTGACATTTTTGAGGAAGAGTTATGATAAGAAGGATTGGAATGGTGTCTTTAGGAAATAATGGTCTCATCACGTCTTCAATTTTATTAGTTTTAATATACATAAAACGAACGGCCTTCACATGCCAAAACGCTGTCAGAACATGTTAGACCGATTATGGACACTGATTCTAATACGTGCTATCCTCGTTCGTCTCTTTGCCTAATTACAATAAGTTCATTGCATTTTTTCTTGATAATAAGTATAAGTTACTTATATCTAAATCAAGCAAGCCTACTGTAGTACTCACCGAGAACTGCCATCGTCTCCGCGAAGAAGCGACGCTTTCCCGCGGAATTTGTCAGCCGCTTTTAAAAGATGTAAATTGGCGAATATTCCCTTAAAATACTTTCAGGATGTCTGTGAATTTCCCTTGAATGAAACTGTTTACAAACTGCGTCTCTCAGTTCCATCTTGCAGACAAATATTTCCTGGGAAGTAACAACCACCAAGAATTACTGTTGACCGCCATACTTTTCATTGATCAAATAAACAACGCTGCTCACTTACCGCATGCGCAGTCGTTTTTCAGATCACTTTTATTTTAAAAATTTTAATTTCACCTCTTGCCATCGTGGAGGTTTCCGTAGTGTAGTGGTTATCACGTCCGCCTAACATATCAAATTAGCACCGCGGAAGGTCGCCAGTTCGAGCCTGGCCGGAAACACTTCTTTTAATTTTTTTTTGTTTTCTTTTTTTCTTTCTTCCTTTTTTTAGTTTACCTTTTGTTTATATACTTTTGTATTACTTTCATTTTATCGAAACAAACAAACAAGCACAAAATAAAAAAAAAAGATTCGCAATGCTATGCCCTAGTACGTAGGGGAATGGGCGCACACGTTTTTTTGGGGGGGGAGGGGGGCGCTAAATACAGTTTCGCTTTATATTTTCCCGGTTTCTTCGCCAGTTTTCTCTAACAATAATATAATAAATTGGGTCAAAAACACAACACCTTGAATGAAAACAAGAGATGCCATTTCTTTTATTTCTTCTTTAAACCTCGACAACATTATCAAAACCACTAAGCGGGCAAGCGCAGACACGTTGCGCTTCTCGTTTGGCAGGTTTCCTTTGTGTCGAACTTGTGGAACGCCTATAACGTCTGGCAGAAAACACTTGCTCTTTTAAACTCCTTTCCAGTTTTTTTCTTTTTCACTTTTTTTCTCTTCTCTTTGATATTAGGGAGCTTTTGCATCGACGACAGCGACGAGTAAAAACGTCGAACCACCTTCACCTTCTCCAGTTTCACTGAACACCCAAGTTCTTTAAATCAGGGACACCCAACGAGAATATAGTTCAAAAAAACCACTTAGACATAGCATTGTTGAACGTATTTTAGTATTTTAACGCCTATATAGGCATATTTTTATCCCCTCAAAATTTTTCATCTTTTCGGATTTCCTTGCTGAAAGTCTAGTAAAATTATAGGGATCAAAACTTACCTTTTCCAAAATTTCAGCCAGAAAAAGGACTGCCGAAAATTCTAGGTGACCTTTTTAGGGTAAAAATGGGCAATTATGCCATGTTTTAGATGTTCGAAAATCCTAGGAGAGGCAGGCAAGCAGGAAATTTTACAACAAATGTTCCGAAACTGAATTCTCGGACCTCAAATCGTCTTCGGAACAGATATTTTCCCAAAAATGTTGTTGGGTGCCCCAGTTTATATAACACTAGGTTGTCCTCCAGGTTATCCAAAAAGCCAAAACAAATTATGGAATTTTTAACACAAGGTTCCAGGGTGCTAAAGTCTGGAATGATATAATGATGGCATCAAGCTCCCCTCCCTCAAACCTTTTAAGTAAAAGTTAATTAAAAGTCAATTCTTATTGATAAATATTAATTGCAGATTTATCAACACCATATTTTTTTCTGACTTTCCGTTGTTTAATACTGGCATACTTAGCTTTCTTTTGCTGCCTTTCTTTTCTTTTATTTTTTTTTACTAGTTTTTTTTCTCCTTTTTTTTGTGTGTGTGTGTTTTGTGTGTAGCTGTGTGTGGTGTGTGGTACAATCACTTATTAATAATCTAAGTAAGGCTGCACTATCATGATTATTATCATAATGGGCAGCCTGTACTCTCTCCATATTATATAATAATTTTTTTGGATCATGTTAATTAATGTAGGGTGCAAATAAAGTTGTTGTTGTTGTTGTCAAAAATGAATTCGGCGCGCTTTTTCCAAAAATATCGCTTTTATTCCAATTCACTCAAAGTGTCAAATGTAGGCGGATTTCCCTAGCCTGAGAAAACAGGCGACATTTTCACGACGCCACCACTGGTTTCCGCGCGAAATGACGTCTGAGAAAAGAGCGCAGAAATTTCATAGTGATGACGCGTCACTACCCAGATCTGGGTTAGGCTCCTGATTGGTATTATGATGCATATAAAAGATGGCTTACGAACTAGAACCGAAGAAACTTTCTAAAGAAACACCTTAACATCCTTCAGCCCTCTCCTAACTGCAAAGACACCTTCCCTGTGCCGCCCGTTATTGCTTACAGACATCACGAAAGTCTTCGTGACCTTTTGGTACACTCCACGCTACACAACAACACACCTTACAAGCAACAACCAGCCGGAGTTTACAAATGCAACCATCCACGCTGTCTCACCTGTCCTTTTCTCCAGGAAGGCCAAACAAATTATATTTTTACCCCAACTAATGAACAAAGAAAAATCATTGACCACTTATTCTGCAAATCAAAAAATGTTTCTTCTTAATTCAATGCAACAAATGTAAATGCCAGTACATCGGAGAGACCAAACGCCAACTAAATGAACGATTTGGAATGGAACACCGCCAATCTATCCTGAACCACCAACAACTCAGTGATCCCACTCCTGTCTCCTTACATTTTACTCAAGCTGGACATTCAATCAACGACGTCATTCTAATTCCACTTGAACTCATACGCAGCAACCTTGCTTGATGCAGTGAGAAAGGCTCGAGAAGCTCATTTAACACACAACGGAAACACATTATCTCCTCTAGGAATAAGCTCACTGATATATTGTACCACATAGTCTCCTATACCAATAACAATCCATTGTTTTTATCGTCACATTTTCAAATTCTTATTTGTAACGAATTCTTAGTTTTATTTCTTTTTTCTTTTAGCCCCTGAAGAAGGTATGTTGTCGAACCGAAATATTGGGAAATTTGTTTAAATATATGTTTTTTTTGTTTATTCCTTTGTTTACGTCTTCATCGCCTTGCCGTAACCGTAGGGATCACTTTGCCGTTTCATATATTTTTCTACATTATTCCACACGTAGGCGAAAAAAGATTGGCCGCCTCTTTGGTCAACGGCTGCTGACCTTTTTCCGCAAACTTGCCGTTGTAGAGAACTAAGAGTTATGACTATTGGGCCCATCAGATGAGTGTGGTTGTACAACATACCCCCTTCCCCCTGAGTCTGGAGTGCAGTTAGCATTTCATCCTCTTCCCCACTCCCCTAAAAAAGAATCAGAAGACAGACTAAGCGAGACTAATCGAGAAATCAATCAATTAATCAGTAAAATCTATATCTATACAAGCAACCTTGTATTAACATAGACAAAAGCAAGCTACACAGTTTTTACTGCGTCTGTACTTAGGGAATATAGGGACTGCAGCAATCCCCATTCGCGCGTTTTCTAAAACGGAGGTTTTAGGTCTTATACCAGGGATATCTCATCAAATGAGCAACTGAACTGGAAGTATAGGAGTTTATTTCAGTTATGCGGGGAGTCGCATGGGGAAGCTCCATCCAATTTGGCCAAGAAACTAGCCTTTTTACTCCAGTTTTCTTTAGTTTCCTTTTTCGGCTATGCAGGGATACACGGCTTAGTTATGGCTGTTATGGTCTACAGCTGAAAAATCTTAAAGGACTTTATTTCTCTATTTTTATTCCTTCTATAAACAGCTTGAGAAGCAATATATGTATAAGAAAAAATGACATTTTATCTTAACTTATTTTCCACCAAGACAGAGTAATTTCGTGATCTTTCACATCCGTTTCAGTCTGTTCATGCGGAGAGGAAGTTTAGATTAGAATGTTTACGGAGTAAAGAATTTTTAACACAAAATACAAAAGATTGGCATGAACATGAATCTTGTTGCAAAAACGATAACTGATTCTATGCATTATTGTTAATACTTCTTTTAGTTGGCTTTGTTTTTATCTTGCATGTTAAACAACTGACACACGCTATGGTCACGTGACTCGGGCGGGGGATCTCTGGGAAATTGCCTTTATTAAAGCTTTATAAAAAGCATTATTGTTCTCGAAACAAGCACCTCCTTTGCATGTCGCCAATATTGTTTCGCCAGATGGATCAGCTCTCCCCAGTTTTTACTACTTCTGTTATCAAAACACGGCAGCTTACTTTACGAAAAGGAATTTAGCAAAAACGACCGCTGATCAAATGATGGCTTGGTGTTATTCCCTGGTGGCTATGAGGACCATTAGAGGTTAAGGGGGAGGGGAAGGTTGCTGTAGTTATTAGCCGGACTGTTGAGACCATTGAGGAGATCAGACTGGCTATGATCACGGCATAATGAATTTTTTTCCCTACCCCTATATAGCCTTATCCTACCATATCTGTCACTGTCCTGTCTCTCCACATTTCAATATATTTTGAGACCACTAGCCAAGCCAGCCTCCTTACAAAACGTCTAAGAGGAAGTTACCTAAAAGTTAGTAGCAATGACTAGTTTTGGCACTCGGAGATGACATGATCTCTCACCTGTATTAAAATCATTTGTAATCCAATCAGATGATCAATTCCTTTCAATTCGGT